ATAATTCTTCAGATGATGCGAAAGCCAAATTCAATAATTGTTTTCTTATTCATTCTAAATAATTCCTAGTTTAAAAACAAGGTAAAAGATGTTTACCTCCATTGATATTAAGTTCACCTTCGATAGTGCACGTTAATCGGCAAGTTTAGGAGATAAAGGGTCCTTCAGCTCCGCAAATATTCTCCAAATAGCAGATGTTGTCCTTCGAGTTGTCTTCTTGCTGTTTTTTCTATGTTTTTAGCCAATAGTTCGCCTACAGTACAGGCCATGGGCATTGCAGCATTACAGGCTTGTTTCATGCGTGGAAATCCGCCATATTGCACGCAAATTCCACACGAAAAACACGCATGAAACACTCTTGTAAAAAAATGCACGCAAAAAGAACACGCGATTTTAAATTGTCATTATCACTAAAATGATGATAAAATGAAAACTTCAAAACTGGGGAAAATGCTATAATAAACGTCACTATGAATACACCCATGGAGGCTTGCCTTCGCCTTAGTTTTAAGGTGGTTTGTCCACTGACTCTTGAAATGACTAAAATTTGACGGGTTCCTGATAGAGAGTGGTAGCGCACTGAAAACGACGGTAGCGCTGGCAGGGAAAGTGCCTGAACTCTAACAGCACCTACAACGTAACTTGACTACATGATTTTAGCATTCTTGTGGCGTTGCGAATGTTCAACCTAAGATAGTAGGGCCAATCCTCAAAGTACAGTGCCTTGAAGACTGACATTATTTTGCAAATGCTGCTTCTTGCGTTTAACAATTTGGAGCCACCCTAGGTTAAGCAAATCTTTCTTGGTTGCATAGCATCCTAAAACAAAACCAGCAGCCCGAACAGTACTCGTTTAAGTCTCTCAAGACAAAAAATGCTGGACTTTTTTTCGAAAATAAATGTGACCTCTATCCTCTGTGATTTGAGGCTTCTGGACAAACGACGAAAATAGAAATGTCGGAATAAGACGAACATCAGACAAAGGTGATAATGGATAAATTTGACAGGCTTCACTTTCTTTGACACTCATAGCTGCCATACCTTGACCACAAAGGCGGACGACTGCACTCAAATTGCCAATCCCGCATCCCGCCAGACCTGTGGTGACCCTCATAACATTACTTATGAAAGTGCATCTTTCCTTTCACATGAATTGCTTTGGCAACACCAATAGGGAGATTTCAGCGAGCTTTTGGGGCAATGCAGCCACAACAATAAGAGAACGTGAAAAATGTTGGGCTGAAATGATTTTCCTCGACATTCTCCATAGCAAAAGAAAACCAAAAATAATAGTTTTAAAACCGTGAACATAGCGCCGCTTTGACAAAAATGTCACAACGGTTATGTTTCCACTGCTGCAAATAAAGCTTGGTTTTTTCTAAGGTCTGCAAGAAGAGGGGCTACATACCCTTTTAACTCAAAGTTTTTTTCGTTATTATTTCGACAGAACGTTTTCCTGGAAAAAGCAATGCAAGGTTCATTAACTTTCTCATCTGTCCAAATATTGCAATCTGTTCATGAATCTACCCACAGAGAAGCAAAACCTTACAAGTGCAGGTATTGTAATAAGGGCTTCAGCTCTTCATCTCATTGCAAGCGACATGAACGTATACATACGGGAGTGAAACCGTATAAGTGTAACTATTGTGACAAGTGCTTTACAACTTCAACACAGTGCAAAAGGCATGAAAGTAAACACACAGGATTAAAACCTTATCAATGTAAGTACTGTGATGAATGCTTTGTCACGTCATCGCATTGCAAGGAACATGAAATTTCTCACACAGGAATTAAACCTTACCAGTGCAAGTACTGCTATAAGAACCTAAGCTCTTCATCTCATTGCAAGCGACACGAACGTATACATACTGGAGTGAAACCGTATAAGTGTAGCCATTGTGATGAGTGCTTTACAACTTCAACACAGTGCAAAAGGCATGAACGTAAACACACAGAAGTCAAACCTTATCAGTGTAAATACTGTGATCAATGCTTTGTCACGTCATCGCGATGCGAGGAACATGAACTTTCTCACACACGAATTAAACCTTACCAGTGCAAGTACTGCATCAAGAGCTTTAGCTTTTCATCTCATCGCAAGCGACATGAACGTATACACACGGGAGTGAAACCGTATAAGTGTAACTATTGTGATGAGTGCTTTACAACTTCAACACAGTGCAAAAGGCATGAACGTAAACACACAGTAGTTAAAACTTACCAGTGTAATTACTGTGAGGAACGCTTTGTCACGTCATCCCAACGCAAGGAACATGAAATTTCTCACACAGGAATTAACCCCTACCAGTGCAAGTACTGCAATAAGAACTTCAGCTCGTCATCTCATTGTAAGCGACATGAACGTATACATACAGGAGTGAAGCCGTACAAGTGTAACTGTTGTGATGAGTGCTTTACAACTTCAACACAGTGCAAAAGGCATGAACGTAAGCACACAGAAGAGAAACCGTACAAGTGTAACTATTGTGATGAACGCTTTACAACTTCAATACAGTGCAAAAGGCATGAAGGTAAACACGCAGAATTGAAACCTCATCAATGCGGGTTTTGTGGTAAGTGTTTCAGCCGGTCATCTTATTGCAAAGTTCATGAACGTCTCCACACGGGTTTGAATCTTTTCAAGTGCAAGTACTGTGATAAGGCCTTTATCTGGGCGTCAAGCCGTACTCAACATGAAGTTACCCATACAGGAATAAAGCCGCACAAGTGCAAGTATTGTGGTAAAAGCTTCACCTTTTTAACAAATTGCAAGCAACATGAACTTATACACGTAGGAGTGAAACCTCACAAGTGCAAGTATTGTGGAAAAAGCTTTTACTATTTAACAAAGTGCAAGCAACATGAACTTATACACACAGGAGAGAAACCTCATAAGTGCAAGTATTGTGAGAAGAGCTTTAGACAGTCATCTCATTGCAAGCGACATGAACGTACTCACTTCGAAAGTGAAACCATAGAGGTGCAAATATTGTGTTAACTTCTTTAGCAAGTCATCGCTTTGCAAGGAATGTCATTTTTGCATACACACTTAAAAGCCATGTCGCAAATTCCATACAGTAGTGAGTTCTAATCAATCAGCGAAGCAAACGATGTTTTTTAAGGGCCAGAATAAGTGATCGTCCAATTAGAACTGAAGCGAGAGTGGCGCAGTGGTGGGAACACTCGCCTCCCACCAATGTGGCCTGGGCTCAGATCCTGGCTTGGATGCCATTATGTGGGTGGAGTTTGTTGTTGGTTCTCGCCTTTGCTCCAAGATGTTTTTCTCCGGGTATCTGGTTTTCCGCTTTCCTCAGAAACCAACACCTCCAAATTCGAATTCGATCTGGAACCCATAGACTCGTTTAAACCAGTTCTTAAGAACTGCTAAATGCTTCATGGGTAAGCAAATTGCAATTTACAAACTGTGAACGAGGCTTATTCCCGTGCGCCGAGGTTGCCGTCCATTAGCGCAGTGTTTGGGTTACAACTTGGTGTTACGGAGCACGTGTTTGTGCTAATAAGTATATGCATATAGAGAGTGTCGTGGTTTCATGGGTTTCTCTGGTTTCAATGGTTTAGTGGTTTCATGAGTTTCTTGGTTTCATAGGTTTCGTGGTAACTTTTTATGCTCCATAACACCAAGTACAGTGGGACCTCGTTAGCGAAGTGCCCACAGCCCGGTTGCGTAAAACCTGCACTCAATTGTTCACTTAAAAGCGGGGGTTCCCTATAAATAGGGTCCCCCAGGGCAATTAATTTAATATAACACAGTTCTTTACAAATGTGTGCACTACTTGTGAACAATAAATGTATTTGAAAACATTGTTCAAGCCTTATGTTGTTTTTCGTTTTTGATCTGTGTATTTTCTCCGAATGAGCTCCAACTGAAGCATAGACCTTCCTTTGGCGCGCCAAATGTACTTACCCTCAGCGATCGATGTTTCTAAAATCCCTGCTTCTCCCCCAAAGATTTTCTCGGCTGTTCTTTAAATGCTCATCATTGGATAGTATTCTTAGATGAATATAAGGAGAGACGTGATTGGCCGTATTTGTGGCGCAATATTCAAAAATTTAGCGGGCTTTCCATACATACATACATACACTTTATTGATGCTCCCTAAGTGGGCTTTTCAGCTCAATAGAATAAAAAATACAAATTTATATAAATTAATTAAGAATGTAAGTACAATAATATTATAATTACAAAAAATATATCAACTTAATAAAACATTTGCAACATGACGCCTAAAATTCCTGGGGCATTTTAAGGACTTAATATTATCATTCAAGGAGTTCCAGAGTTTGGCTCCTCTGAAAGCAAAAGAGCGCTGCCCTGTTGACAGGCGACATAAAGGTATATCCAAAGCACCAGATGATCGAGTTTGTCTATTATGGACTTGAGAACGTAATTTAAACATATCAGCAAGATAGCTTTGAGTGTAAACGTAGGGAAAATATTCGGGTCAAAATGTTGGGTACTGGCGAGCCTTGTGCAAAGAAAGCTAAATATGACCTGCAACGAAAGTACAACGAACGAAGAAAAGAGAAACCACGCAAGCCTCAGTTTAGTTTGAATTTCCAATTTAATTTCGGCGAAGAGGGGGAGATGAGAGAGACAAATGAAAGGTTTGTTCGACTTCGCAACATGGCGAATCTACGAGCCGGTCGGTCCAATGCCGATTTTTTGCAGGCTCTTTTGGATCGATACGAAGGAAAAAACCAGGACGTTAATCCCCCAGAAATGAACTCAGTGGCAATTCAGGCCAATTCCACTGAATCATGTATTCGAACTTTTCGCTCAAAGGAAGGACAAGAAAGTCGATTTTGGTTGTCAGTGGCCATGTGGGGAAGCAGCACCCTGTACACAAGTTCTGTCTCCTGCTCGAATTGATCAACGCTTCTTTATATGTGGGCAGGATAGCCTAGAAGTTTTACTCTAACAGACATCCATTGCCTGTGCATGTGGATGTCCCTATGTTTTCGACGAGTTAAACAGGAATATGGATGGGCACGTACTGCGAGTAGAATTCTCTTTCCAAAATGGTCACAAAATCAAGTGGGCTAGCTCATCTGTACTTGGTACTAAGTACACGGCTAACTGTAGGTAAGCCTAAATGGATTATTTTGCTTTGCAATTACAGTGGTTTTCTAAGTCCCAGGCGTCTTGTAATTCGTTGTTATAACAGCAGAGAGTAAATTTAAAAGCCATTATTATTCCGTTATTGAAGTAGCTGCGGTTGTGTTCAGTGGTTATTGGTAATATATATTAGCCAGGTACAAACACAAAACTAGCCATGCATTTTGGCATGGATCGGGAGAGACAGACTCATTTACTTCTTCAATTTAGGCGTTGATATACTCGTATTTAAGGGTAACGTCAATGTTTTTTGTTTCAAATTTTATTTTTCATCAGGAGAGTATTCAAATCAGCCTCGCTGAACTGGGCACCCCTGAGTAAATATTGTTGAATATAAAATACAAAAATATATTTTGGGGGCTATATTCTTCTTTTATAACTCTTTTAGAATGGTTCATGGATTTACAAGCTCTGGCATCCTGGAAAGTCAGTATCAGGGCTTTGCAGAGGCTGGTAAGATTGGTAATGTTGGTGACAAATATATTGACAACGGTAAGGCACTGACATCTTGAATATCGTTTATATCTTCTAAATTTTTCTCAAAACATGACAAGTGCTATCCATCCACACAAAACCCCAATCCAAATTTTGAGGGCTGGGGACAACCTTCCTCATGAATGGGAATGGTAATTGCAGTTTCTTGATTTCTTTTTCTGACATAGTTTTTCTGACTCAATTTTGCCTGTAAAATGTTCAGTTGTACTTTCAGGTTATGTCTTGACACATATGGTATAAAAGATTTATGGAGATGTCATTGCTTTGTAGTGTATGACAAAATGGGCTACATGGGCACAGTAACTAGAACTGCAGAAGACTCACTGTTAGAGCAGATAAGTGAAGCCCGTAACACGGATTCATATCACGAAAACAATCGTGCAGTAAGTCTGGTTGTGACCTCAACATTTTCACTTTTACAATAACATGTAACTTACCACATCTACAAATTAAACAATAGTTTATATATACCTTGTTTTGAGACTGTCATCACTGATTGCCGCCATGACTCAACAGCCAATGCTTACCATTCAACTGTTGCAATGCTATCTTATGAGTAAGTATATTCACTTTAAAGGCAGTGACATAAGAAGGGAAGAATTACAATTTACTTTTACACTATCCTTACCACATCAAATAATATATTCTTTTGACAGAACCAAACATATGTTAGCAACCCAGACAGTCACTAAGGAAGAGTTCCGTAGTTCACAGACTCATGAGTCTGAGGCAATGAAGAAGATTAAAAGGCAAAAGGTACCATGAATATTTAATTTCCTGCACCATGCATTACACACTGCTGAGGTCATTACCACATCAGTGAATACCATCCAATATTGGGAAACTGTTTGAATTAAAAGGTATAATGTAATTGCTTGCCCTTATTCAATAATATTGTTATTAATAGAAAGTTCCTTATGTTACCATAAATGATCATTTAACTACTGATGTGGTAGTGAGAGGTTTTACATTCATTTTGCATGTAATTTTTTAAAAAGGATCTCACTTTGTTTACTAAATTTATAATTTCTTCCTTCAGGCCTCACTGTAAGAGAAGTTGCTCACGATTTTGTACCAAAAATCAAGAACTGGCTGTTGACCCAAAACATACAGAATTCATTTGACACTTGGCATGGTAAAATACAAATTTTTGCTGTACCCTAGATCCCATTATAGCTGTAAAGAACCTCCAAAAAGCTTGAGTCTGATAATATATACATTTCTTTCACTTTTTCTGGTTTCTTGATATGGATTAATTTCCACACTTTGACATTTTGTCAGTCTAACCAGTGAGCTAATGACTCTTCTACCTCGGTTGCCACTTTTCAGGAACAAAGGGCGTGGCCAAAGCCATGAAAGAAATAAGTAGTGGTGCACAGAAGTGGGAGGGGGAAAAGTGTTTTGCAGAGCTATCTGACAAGCGTATGTGCTAGCGGCTTATTGTTTGCGTTCTTAAAACTGTAAATAATAGGCTTAAATGTTATTGCTGCTTTCCTCTCAAACATCATTTCTAGTTTGTAAATGATGAGACCTTTATCATCACATTTTCAGAGGCAAGTGTGAAGCGCCATTTCTACTACTCTATGAAGAACTGTTCAAGTCCAGATGATCTGAGGAGAAGGCTCTTGACTATAGTAGATCACTACTAGGTTTGAATAGTACTGTAGACGAATGTTTCATGTCTTTGTTACATTCAAAACTAGCATAAAATAACACACAAAAAAAGGATAGGACATGCTCTGTGTGGTTGTAGTAACAGCATTTCAGTATATTCTTAGACTGATGCTTTCACGAATACTTTTCATTTCAGAGCAATCACACCCACTGTGATCCTGAATCCAAATGTAAAAAACCTGGGTATAGGTGCAGTAAAGTAAAACTCACTGATGCAGGTGCAATAGCAGCACTGCAAAAATTCATCTTGGAATCAAGAGTCTACAAGCTTGCTGAAGACTCCTACCTGGTAATGCAGAAATCAATATTACTACATTCCTTTTACATAATTCCTAAAAACTAACATCAAGGCATAAAAAACATGCATTAGGGTAGAACACTGAAAGTGGTCTATGTGAACCTGGTTGTTTAATTTTTTAAACACTCATGTAATATCTATTTATTCTAGTGCCGTGACACTTACTGGGTAGAATCCATCATCAATGTTATCCTTATCTACTGCCCAAAGAGAATCCACTTTGCTGACCGCACTTTTGAGATGCGCATTGCCCTAGCAACATTGGACTGGGTAAGTAAAAAGTGCAGTGCACTAAAAAGGGATGATAAACAAAAGTATTAAGCCACAGTTACCAGGTTTTGCCTGGATCAAAGTAGTATGTGACTTTTAGGCACATACTCCTTCAAAAAAGGAAAATGTAATCAATCTCATTGCTGATACAACGTAGATGGTATAATTTTGTAAATTATCTGTAAATACAAACATCATGTCATTGCAGAATGAAAATGTCACCAGAGAGGCTACATCAGTTAGCTTATTGCAAGACGTGCGCCGACCGAATCGAAGAACGGGCCACAAGAACCTTGTGCCAAAAACATTCAGATTCCGGGAACGCATCTGGAACAGGTTTTTCCAGGTAAGTTATTAAGGGGGCATCAGCAGTGGATCATCAGTGGATCACAAAGAATAACAATATTGTAGCAAGGGGCACAAAATTAAATACTAGCTATTCTCGGTGTGCTCCTCTCCTCTTTAGCGATATTTTCCTTTATAAAATCATTATAACTTGAGGTAATAATAATGCATTGTAGAATGATGTCATAATAATGTAATAATATGTAATAATGTACTAAAAACTTCAGCCAGCTGCTACAGGCAGGGAAGACAGTTGCTTTTGACTTTTCTCGCCATGTTCACGCATTGGTCACGCTCTACGTCCAATCTTTATGCTCTGATTGGTCAAAATTTGACAGGTGAGTTCATGCGGAAAATTAATGCAGCATCTTGAATCTTGTTTACTTTGACAGCTGAGGCTGACAGAGTTTTGTGTCAACTTGTGATGTTTTTAACTTTCTTTTTCCACTGGATGTACAAAATGAAATTCAGCTGCTATCAGGAGTCTTCTGTTATTCATGGCTAGTTTGGTTATTGGGTTTTTGGTTGACTCAAAGTCGGAAATCCGATTTCGGATGGCATCGTTTTCGTTTTCATCTTGCTTAATGCGTGAGAGGGTTGCAAAGTCTGAAGCGATACTGGCCTTACTTGATACCTTTCAGGAGTTGCATCTCGAGTGGTAAGCCTAAGTAATTATTGTATTTGATGTTTGTTTTTTATTCCTAATTTAATGAAGTCGAGCGTAGTTTATGCGGCTATTTTGTTTACGCACGTTTGTAAGATTTGAGACAATGATCTGACCGAGTATCAGGTTTGTTATAAGCTTACAGATCTTTAAAAAGCCTTTAGACATTTTCTCACCGCAAATAGAAAGAAAACGTTTCAAAGAATATTTAGTTATAATTCTGGCTGTAAAAGAAAGGTTTGAGCGATTTTCTTGCCTCGAGTTCGTCTTTGAAAAAAGCAAACACCGGGAAACCGGCTTAAAACATAAACTTCAGCTTTAAGCTCGAAGACTCAGGATTTTTAGAGACACTTTTATACTTGTCTTCCTGAATCAAAATTGTCGTCTCTGTATATGTTTCACCGAATTATATTTCTTGTATTGATCGTTAGTACTCTCTCTTGTAATTTTAATCGTTGTGCCGATTGTTTTCAGTCGTTCAGTAAACAACGCTTCCCGGAGTACTCAAAATGCCGCGCGTTAAACCGTTTTAAAATAAAAAATAAACATAATAAATTCTTTATTATGTTGGAGCGTAACTCTGTTAATGTTCATTCCAACACTCGTCACTGCTAGCACTGTAAAACTCAGAACCGGTTGGCCGTATAGATGATTTTGAAAATTTTTTCAACGGTTTACGGCTAAAGCCCACGCGTTCTTCGATCGTCCTGAGGGACTGTGCAATAATTATCAGGAGGGGGGCTAAAACCAGAGGGGGGGACCTTAAGTTAAAATAATGGAAAGGAGGGGCTCTACATTAGATTTCTCAAGTAAGTTGAGGGGGGTCTTAATTAAATTTCACAAATTCGATAATGAATAAATAAACATTTTCCAAATAGACAGATGCCACTCCTTTGACTATCCATAATGTCTAAATATTGCATCAACATAAACACATGCTTTAACTTATTTAGAATGTCAACATATGATAGATTGAAACAATCGTCAACGCACAGAAGTCACAAACCACGTTGTGAGCTTTGCCAATAAAACATTTGGCATTTAAGAGGTCCCGCAGACATGCCAGGTCTGTTCTTGATTTAAACAGCGAGAGGGTTTCTAGGTCTACAGTTTCTAACTGAGGAATGCCACGTGATTCTGTTTCATAGTTATCATCACTTCATAGAGCACCAAAAATTCCTTGCAATGAAAGCAAAAAAACGGGCAACGGAAAGGAACAAACTTCCAGACATTAATTGGTCCGACGAGGTTGAAGTCAACTCGCTGTCTGCAAGTAAACTGAAACTCTACCTAAAGGAACACGGTTTACCCGTCAGCGGAGGGAAAGCAGCACTCGTAGCTCATGTTCTAGGTGCTGGGGAAGCTCAAGGTAAAGAAAACCCGGATGAGCAGCAATCTAGCAGTTGCGAAGACCAAGAAGGTAATGAACAATCAGACGATTCGGAAATTGACGATTATGAAGAACAAAGTTTCGAGGTGCTCTTCATCCCTGACGACGCAGTGGAATGCGTTGCAGTACAGTGAAGGTACGGGTTAGAGAGAGGGGGCACATAATAATTTTGAGAGAACGTGAGGGGAGGTCAGAGCTAATCTTGACGCTGCTGGAGGGGGGGACCTATCTAATTTTTCCTTTGGTGAAGCTCATTTTAGGACCCCCCCTTCCTGATAATTATTGCACAGTCCCTGAATAGCAATATGTATCGCAATATTGTGAAATACTTCATTCTGTTGTCCGAGGTCTGTATGATAAAAACAGTTCCTCATAGTACTGTTTCACCTCAGATGTGACGTATAAATGATATAAAAGGTTGGTTTACACGCACCCAGATTTGTTGGCAAGATTTTGTAAAATAAACTTGTCGAACGCAAAAAATTCGGCCGGAATTTTTTTTCCAGGCCTAATTAATCTACGGTGATCAAGAGCCATTATGGCCTTAATAAATGTGATCGAAGGTGATTGCCAGTTTTTGGGTGTACTTATGAGGCTATCAACTCGATGTGAGATTTGGTTCACTCTTGGGCTGATTGCAAATTATTTTTTGTAAAATCACTTAGCCTTTCCCTGAAAAGTCACACGAATGTGCTCTAAAGTTAACTGAATTGTGGAATACAAGTTTATTGTTTGATTTAAATTATAAATTTATTAATGGGAGCCTCGCTTTTAGCCCTGGCTAAATCTATATATTATTCAACTATCAAAATGTTCCTGAGGAAGGTTTCCTTATATAGTGACCCCCCGCGTTTAAGTAGGTCACTTACGACTCCGTTATGGGTACACTTATGGGTGTTGCATGGACTGCACTTAGCACTCTCCTGAGTTTCTGTTTTACGTGGAAACTCACCGGCTCACTTAAGGGCACACGTAACTTTGTTACAATACTTTGTTTATTTTACTCACTCTATTTTTTCAAGTTAACCATAGGTGAGTGTAAAGAAAGTGTCAAGTCGTTTCAAACACCTTAAGTCTCTCATTCAAATATAGTTTGCATGCGATCGTCATTTTACTTCAGTATCCAATGGAAATGTTTGTTGTTGGCTTCTTTTGTTTTTTCTTGACGGCTTTAAAGTGAATATCAGAGGTTAACCAAGCGCATGAGAACGGAATTACGTAAAGAAAAAACTTTTTTTCACTTCGCAGTGAAAGATCTCGTTAATTTTGGTAAAACAGTAAGGAAACGGTATCTACATAGGTTCCGTAAATTTACGTGCTATTTTTCCCGTTAAGAAAGTTTTATGCAACACCCACAATTTCCGTTGCATAAACGACACTTAAGTAATTTATACGCGTGATTGTTACGGGAGTTTTATGCAACAGGGCCCAGGGACTGAGGAAATTTGTTCGTTATATCGAGGGTTCGTTTGATCGAACACCTCCTTGTAACGAATTTTTGGCAAAACTACCATAATGTTCGTTATATTGAGGTGTAGTTAAGAATTAATTTACAAAACCCAGCATTTCCTGATCTGAAAATCTGCTGTAATGACATTTCAGTACCAGGCAATACATAGCCAAGGTACCAGAAACTCGAGAACATGCAAAAAACTGCTTAAAACTACTGTACTCATAAAATTTATCCTTGTTGGTCTTTTTTGGCATTTATCTTTTATCACCTGCTGACAGTTTGTTTGTTATATCGAAATATATTTTACGTTTGCGCGTGTGGATTGTGTTCGTTATAACGCGGATTTCGTTAAATCGAGGTTCTGTTCCATACGTTTTAATGTAATTTTGGCCGGGCTGAAGAAAATCGTTTGCTATACCGAGGACTTCGTTATACACGTTTGTAGCACCCTCGCCTGGAAGTCATTCCACTGGTATTCCTGTTGTCTTTAAGGCTGCAGAAAATGAAAAGGATCAAATTTGAAGTGTTGTTGTAATGGAAATTCTACTTTGAAAGGAAACAAAAATGTAGATCACGAAGTGCTTTATTATTTTCTGTTAGAAGTTACATGTATAATATATACCTCTTATTAGCCGAGTTTTCGGTCCGTACTGTAAATTACGGACCGAGTTTTTTTCCATCGATTTAGGTCGCGCTTGGGCCATACATCGATGGAAAAAACGAGGATCCGTAATTTACAGTACGGACCGAAAAAACGAGGCTAATAAGATGTTTATTATCTAGCTTCTTCCAATTTCGGGGACCGGAAACAAGTGCAGGACGCGCGATTTGACAATCATTTGACAGGAGTCAAGAAAGAAAGTTTTTATTGGCTCACGAAAACAATAGCATACAAGAAAGGGTTTCCGAGAAAGTGAAAACAAATTCGCCATATTGAAAAAGTTTATTTGGTCAAAACTAAGAGCGCTGTAAGTTTTAGCTCTTTAATATAACGCTAGCGTATTTTGAAAACCGGGCTCTGTGTCTTTCTCGAAGTCGTTTCCATCTTTTCTCCGTTGGTCCTTGTGAAAAAAAAACTGCAAAAGGCAAAGAGCTTTTCAAAGTAAGTTTGTTGTCGTGTCGAAGATTCGCTCGTTAATGTGTTTGGGAAAACCTCTCGAATTTCTGCCAGTTCATTCTCGTCTTCAAGCGTGATCTGCGTTAAAATTTTCAAACACTGACCATATTTTCTTCCACGGAAAGGTTACGATTCAGTTTCTACATCAGCTTCGTTCTCGTTCGAACAAAGCTAGGTTAAAATCTGGAAAGTCAACATCTCAGTCCTCAGGGTTTACAGACATATTTCTAAGTATATTCGGTCAAAACTTTTCAAAACAGTTAAATCTGGCGTTCCTCAAGGTTCACTATTGGGGCCGTTGCTGTTCAACATATTCATTAATGACTTGAATTTCTGTGTTCCTAATGTCTCATTGCGGCTGTACGCTGATGACACGACTGCCTACCTGT